TTCTATTATTTTTCCTTTTGAAATTATTTTTTGTCTGTTCTTGTGTGTGGATAAATTAATAAAACAAACAAACAACTGATTCTGATTAGCTTCTTGCCTTGTATGTTAATTAGAAAATTTATAAATAAGGTTGTAAGAAAAGCTGGGCCAGAACCCTTGTGGCCCACATGTAATTTGGCTGAACATGTATTGTTACTGTACTTATACTTACTGTATTGCTATTTTTACTTAATTTTTGGTTTTCGTAAATTGTACTTCAAGAAACAATCCTGTCTTCAAGAATATGCAGACAAGGGAATCAAAAGCGTACTACGACCACCTAGAGCTTCCGTCAGGGTCCCTAATTGAATTTTTTATGCGGACGCACAGCATCCATTGGGGTATACCTACACCCATTAACACAGAGTTTTTCCGCAGATCTCGGAACAATCAATTTTGTACTTACGAGTTTCACAAAATTGCCCAGGGCAGCAAGAAGGACATGAACATGTGTAAGCTGTACAGGAACCAGCAACCTGGATACAAACACCTCCATTTTGACACGCATTGTTGGTGCAAGCATTTAACACTGAAAGTAAATAACACTTCATCAATCAATCAATCAGTTAGTCAGTCAACAGATCAATAAAACATTAAATCAATAAATAAATCAATAAATCAATCAATCAAACAATCAATTAATCAGTCAATCAATCAATCAATCAACTGCCAGATATTTTGTTGCATCATATGTCCAAGACAAGATTCTGCTGAGTGGCACATTCATTTATTCCCTTCTATTTTAGACACTGTCCATATGAAATACAAAAATAACTAGAGATACTATGTTCAATAGAACATGAACCTAGTCATTTTTCAAAATTTGACCTCAAGATGACCCCTGTGATTTTGACCTCAAGCTGTGAACACTCCCATGTTTGGTGGAAGTCTGTCTAATGCTATTGGTTACTCCACTAATGATAATATATTTGTAATCCACTCTATAAATGAATTATACCCAAATAAACATAAGCGGTTGTATTGCGCTTTTACTGATTACAAAAAAGCGTTTGACCTGGTTGAACGATCTTCTCTATTTATTTATTCTGTCTTTCTACTGCATGCACTTTCAGTACTTGTGTACTGTTTTTCAAAGTGGTACAGTTTCATAAAATACAAAAGTTAAAAGAAAAGTAATTAAAAAACAAACATATATATAAATAGATATCATAATAAAAGTGATTAAGAATTAAAAGAGTTTTTAAAAAATATAATAGACATGTTCATGAAATTTGTTGTTGTTTTGTGTGGAAGTTCATTCCACAACTTTGTTGAACGATACAAAAAAGTTCTCTTGCCTTGACAGTTATTCCATTGTGGAAAAAAAATGTTAGTATGAGATTGACTACGTGTACTATGGAGTAAACTAATATCATGTGGTACAAATGGTAAAGTCATTAATGTCATTTCAAATTTGTATGCTAACATGAAGTCATTTGTCAAACAGAATGGTGTGATATTCAAATTTTTTCCATGTAATGTTGGAGTGCACCAAGGAGAAAATGAATCCCCACTTTTGCTTGCTATTTATCTTAATGACTTCAAATTTTTTGTTAGTCATTATTATAAAGGTTTGAATCCACTTGGCTAATGAATTTTATAATGTCTTAAGTGATGATGATGTAGAAGTGTTCCTCAGACAATATGTTTTATTGTATGCAGATGATACAATTATTATGTCCAAAAGTCACTCAGAACTCCAGAAAGCATTAAGCGCTGTATATGATTACTTCGACATATGAAAGCTCACAGTCAATACGAGTAAAACAAAAATTATAATTTTTTCCAGAGGTAGGGATCGAAATACTACTATTTTTATGTTTGGAGATGAACAAATTGAAATTATACATAATTATGTCTATTTAGGTACAACATTTAAATTTAATGGAAAATTTAACAAGCCATTGATAAGCAAGTATTAGGCAAAAAGAGTTAACCAGCTTTTTTTGCCTATATTAGTATATGGTTGTGAAGTCTGGGGATTCCAAAAACTACCTGTAGATCAGATCGAGGATTTTTTTTGGAAAATTCGTAAGCATGTACCTCAAACTTAACAAGTCCACTGCTAATTGCATGGTTCTAGGCGAAGTGGGCAGGCGAAATATCGAATTAATAACAGAGAAATTTCTGGGAGCCTGTTATTGATGGTAAACAAAGCAAACTGTCAAACATTATGTTCAGATTGTTAAAAAAATTACACGACCAGGGTTTATATCTGTTAAAATGGACTAGTAAATAAAAACACTTCTAACAAATGTGGCTTGCCTAAAATGTGGAATGACTATGATAATTTCAATAAAAAGTGGATAGCAAATACTGTAGTATTAATCTCCAATTGAGTGATATCTCAAAACAGGAATGGCTGCAAGAAGTTAACGCAAATAGAATGTGTGAAAATTATAGATACTTTAAGTCTGATCTCGTATTTGAACAATCATTACTAACATTATCAGATGAAGAAAAAACTGATCTTTGTAGGTTTAGATGTGGTAATCATAAGCTCCCAATTAATAGAAGATATTGTGATGTCACGCTACTAATTGTACTGTCTGTAATCGAAATGATACCGGAGATGAATTCCATTATTTATTCCTTTGCGCTACACTAACTAAGGAGCGTGAACAATATACTGTATTAAAAAATATTATTACACTAGATCTAATCAAAATAAAATGCACCAATTATTCAATACCTGATCATATGACCACCTAGAGCTTTGGTCAGGGTCCCTAATTGAATTTACTACGCGAACCGCGCTGCAACCAATGGGGCGTACTTACGCCTATTAACACCAAAAGTTTATCTGCAGATCTCGAGAAAAATTATTTTATACTTACAAGTTTCACAAAATTGCCCAGTGTAGCAATTAGGACAGAAACATGTGTAAGCTGTACAGGAACCAGAAACCTGAACACAAGCAGCTCCATTCTGACATGCATGGTTGCCACAAGCATTTAACAATGAAATTAAATATCAGTTCATCAATCAATCAATCAATCAAATCAATCAGTCAGTCAGTCAACTGTTACAAAATGCATCATATGTCCAGAGTAAGATTCTGCTCAATAGCGCATTCAGAACATTCGACAGAACAACTTACAGTGCATTCATTAGATGATCATAATAAGAATACAGATCGTATAGTTAATGGCTCAAAGAACAAACATTTTATACTTACAAGTTTCACAAAATTGCCCAGTGTAGCAATTAGGACAGAAACATGTGTAAGCTGTACAGGAACCAGAAACCTGAACACAAGCAGCTCCATTCTGACATGCATGGTTGTTGCATGCATTTAACACTGAAATTAAATACCACTTCATCAATCAATCAATCAATAGCCCCTTTCAGACAGAAAATACCGCAATAATACTCTAATCACGCCGTCGTTATTGCCAGCGCAGACCTTTCACACAGCTAGTTAAATCCGGTAATAATACCGTATCCTGTCTGAAAGGGTTCTCGCGGAAAGGAGTATTTGATGTCTTTGGCGCTTGTGCTTGTTAACAAAGAGGGTGCAATTTTTTGTTTACTCCATTAATCCAATATGGCCCGAGATGAAGTCATAAAACTGCTGCTTTGCAAATTTTTTTAATGCTTGCTATGCTTGCAATACATATAAATTGAGAAACAGAAGGTTTCTAATGCGTTTCGTTCAAGTGAAGAAAGAATTTAGGAAGCGTTTAAGGCAAGGCCGCTCGAATTTCGAGCGGCTAGGTGCAGACGATTTTCACGTCTAAAGAACCGTCAGCTAGTGATTTCATCGGCTTTGTTAGCTGTCATCGAGTTGGGCAAAACTCGTTACGGTATGAAGTCATAAAACTGCTGCTTTGCAAATTTTTTTAATGCTTGCAATACATATAAATTGAGAAACAGAAGGTTTCTAATGCGTTTCGTTCAAGTGTAGAAAGAATTTAGGAAGCGTTTAAGGCAAGGCCGCTCGAATTTCGAGCGGCTAGGTGCAGACAATTTTCACGTCTAAAGAACCGTCAGCTAGTGATTTCATCGGCTTTGTTAGCTGTCATCGAGTTGGGCAAAACTCGTTACGGTATTAATGCGGTATTAAGACTAGGCCTAGGTCCTGAGGAGGTCTAACAGAAGCCGGCGTTTAGGCGTATTTACCCTTTCACATAGAACACCGGCATTCGAGAAATACGGTATTAATACCGTTTTGCAGGTCTGTCTGAAAGGGGTAAATCATTCAGTCAATTAGTCAGTCAATCAATCAATCAGTCAGTCAGTCAGTCAACTGCTGCAAATGTTATTGCATCATATGTCCAGAATAAGATTCTGCTTAATGGCGCATTCAGAATATTCAACAGAACAACTTACAGTGCATTCATTAGATGATCATGATAGGAATACAGATCGCATAAGTTAATGACTCAAACTATAAACATGTGTAACTTACAAGTTTCACAAAATGTCCCAGTGTAGCAAGAAGGACAGGTACATGTGTAAGCTATACAGGAACCAGAAACCTGAACACAACCAGCTCCATTCTGACACACATGGTTGTTGCAAGCATTTAACACTGAAATTAAATATCACTTAATCAATCAATCAATCAAATCAATCAGTCAGTCAGTCAGTCAGTCAGTCAGTCAACTGTTACAAATGTTATTGCATCATATGTCCAGAGTAAGATTCTGCTCAATGGCGCATTCAGAACATTCAACAGAACGACTTACAGTGCATTCATTAGATGATCATAATAGGAATACAGATCGTATAGTTAATGGCTCAAACTATAAACATGTGTAACTTACAAGTTTCACAAAATTGCCCAGTGGAGCAAGAAGGACAGGAACATGTGTAAGCTGTACAGGAACCAGAAACCTGGACACAAGCAGCTCCATTCTGACACGCATGGTTGCTGCAAGCATTTAACACTGAAATTTAATATAACTTCATCAATCAATCAATCAATCAAACATTCAGTCAATCAGTCAGTCAGTCAGTCAACTGCTACAAATGTTATTGCATCATATGTCCAGAATAAGATTCTGCTTAATGGCGCATTCAGAATATTCGACAAAACAACTTACAGTGCATTCATTAGATGATCATAATAGGAATACAGATCGTATAGTTAATGGCTCAAACTATAAACATGTGTAACTTACAAGTTTCACAAAATTGCCCAGTGTAGCAAGAAGGACAGGTACATGTGTAAGCTGTACAAGAACCAGAAACCTGGACACAAGCAGCTCCATTCTGACACGCATGGTTGTTGCAAGCATTTAACACTGAAATTAAATATCACTTCATCAATCAATCAATCAATCAATCAATCAAACATTCAGTCAATCAGTCAGTCAGTCAGTCAACTGCTGCAAATGTTATTGCATCATATGTCCAGAATAAGATTCTGCTTAATGGCGCATTCAAAATATTCGACAAAACAACTTATAGACTGGAATACAGATCATTTCGGTCGCGCTTCGTTTCGGTTGCGCCTCGTTTCGGTCGCGCTTCATTTCGGTTGCAGTTTGTATTCAACAAATATATGGAGCGCCAATGGAGTTGCGAAAACGCCAAATTTAATATAACTAGGCCTAATTATCATTGTGAGTTCGTCAATCATTTTTTCATACTTTTTTAAAATTTATTTTGTTGTCTTTCTACTAAGTAACAACATAGGCTACTTAAAAGCAAATAAATTGAATACTATTATTACTAAACTACATTTCAATTAATATTATGGTATTTATAGGTTATTTTCTAGTTTGTTGCATTCCTAGTACCATTTCACTCGTTTATCGGACGGGTTTTTTTTTGTTTTGTTATCGATTCTACGCTTCCTACTACTACATAACAAGTATTTATAAAAATCAAACATTTTATCAGGAAAAACCAGCCAACTCGTTATTTAAATTACTGTAACATTAGTTTATTAACAATTATTTTTATATTAGTGTTAAAGTTTATTATTGTTACTATATTACTGTATCACTTGGTGCTATTTTTATTTTTTTTTACAGAAACAATGCAGATATGTTAAGAAGTTGACCGAGGTTGAGATACGTTTTTTTTATTGTTTGTTGCAATATATATATATATATATATATACTTTATATATAGTGATATAATTTTTATTATTCTGCTTGAATCAAATAAAGATTTATGAAATAAGTATAGTCAATAGATTTGTTTCGCATACGTTTTTTTTTTGTTACGTTTCCATTTACCATATGTTCTGATCATGTTTATAATAATATTATAAAGGAAATATGTGTTTTCATATTTATATTTTCCATATAAAATTACACTGTATCAATAAATTTATAATTACATGCTGTACATTTTAAAAGCCGTTTCATGCTTCTTTCATATTCATAAGCCCGAGAAAATCACTCAACTTGCTAGGCCTATTTCTTTAGTTGTATAACTAGAATTGTGGAAAGAAACATTTCCACAAATTGATTCCCATGGTACTCTTAAGGCGAAGCTGACACAAGTTTTGTGATTTCTTGTTTGTTTTTTTTTTCATTTTCGATAAATTACTACGAAGACAAGTAGGTCCGATGCTAAAATAGATGACTAGCTATTTCTAGGTACAAACATGTGCGCTGGAGCGCAGTTCACCATTTCACGTGTGTTCACGTCACCTACTTCACGAAACCTGTAACTTCGAATCGTCTCTGCGCTGGATGCTAATCATGTTTATAAAATACAAAAATAAATGGATAGTAAAATATATATTTGTTAGGCCTATATGATTTCATGTGTAATGTAAATAAATATGTATAAATTATATATAATATTATATATGTATAAATATATATATGTATGTGTATATAGGCTTATATATAATATATATATATAGTTGTTTCTAGGTATATCATTTATGCTTATATAAAATCATATATAAATATATATATTCATATTTATGAACTGCGCAGGAACATCAAAGAAAACTAAAGATTTCAAGTGAAGAATGATAATGTGTGTGTTAGAAGAATGTTAATGTGTGTATTATTCGTTTATTTCTTTAATTGTGTTTCCCTCAATTCTCTTGGTATGTTTTATCCAAACTCTGGAAGCTGCAAGAAAAATAAATAAATCTATTGTATAGAAACATCGGATTAAATAATGTAACGATTATTGTTTTAACTAAATTATGAAATAGATTTCAGATGGTAACAACATTCAATTCATTCAATTAAAATCAAAGATACATTTTATTGACCATAATTATTAAATTATAGTATGAAAACGCAACAAAAAGAATAGCATGAAGCACATATACTAAACTCCATGAAAGAAAGGAAATATGTTAGTAGAAAGATAGCAAAATGGAAATTAAAAAAAATACTTAGGCCTATGATAAACCGATTGACGAACTAATTATAATTATATAGGGCCTAGGCATATTAAATTTTGCGTTTTCGCAACTCCTTCGGCGCTCCATATATTTGTTCGAAATAAACCGCGACCGAAATGAGGTGCAACCGAAATGAAGCGCGACCGAAACGAAGCGCGACCGAAATGATCGGCTACCATAGACTGTGGGTTGAGGCTCCAAAATCGGCTTAGTTTACGAATTCTGTGACCCACCGATCCGCGCTACTTGGCATTCGCACAAAAATGTCAATACTATTTTATTGAAACATAATATAATTGTCGGCAATCGTAAATTTGGGGAAACTGTAACCAAAAATGAGAATTTATCTTCGAAAAAATAATGTCGCTCACGAAAGCAGTACCCAATCACAGCACACTCACCATTCCTGTTAAGCATTGATGAGACACTATTAGCCAATCACAAACGTTCTTGTAAACTCTGTAACTAATGTAAACAATGTCGTAAGGAAGGTGACAATGTGTAGCAATTTGAACGAAAGTTCTCCGGTTTTAGTGGAATATTTCAATATGATATAAGTATACCAGCCTTTAAATAAAATACATTGGTAATAGTTGTAAGATTTTAGAGGTAGTAAATTGCATTTTCCGTCTTCTGTCGACTGTCATACCGTAGTCTTTTAAGCCAAAGTCGACCGTGCTGTACTGAATGTGTATTGTATTACTTATCTAGGCCTACATATGCATAGTAGGAAGGGCAAGAAGTAATGTTCATCGACTTTGAATGAGACAGGAAATTCCTGTAAATATATAATATATTTTTATTCTATTTGGAATCGCTTTTTTGTTTTTGTTTTTTGTTTTTCTATAATTAAAAAAATGTACATTTTAAAAGAAAACTGAGGCTGAATTACTTCAAAAAATAAGAACACATTGAGGCTGATGTAAAATTTCAAATGTTTTTATTTGCATGCAATGTAAATAAATAACATTAATCAGTATTTCTTGCCATGCCTGTTGATTTTTGTTTAACTGCTTGAAGACCTTGGTAATATGGACTGAATTAATGAATAAAAGTAAAGCAATTGATGATTCCAAAAGGTGAAACAAATAATTTTTTAATATACCTCAGTTCAGCCAGTTGCATCCCATCAGCAATTTCATTATCTCTCTGATCACTCACTGGGTATATACATTTAACTACACAACAGTAAACACAAGGTTGAAAGAAGTTTATGACAAAAATCTGAACTTTTATATGAATATTATTGAAACACTGTAGCACAACATATACCTACACAGAACTGCTTTAAACATAGCTGAATGTAGAGTTCAATCCAATCCACTTATAAACATGTGTTAAATATTACAATTATATAATATTATCAATGTAACCATCCAGCATAAACAATTTAAAAGAAACTAGAAATAATGAAAGTTTTGCTGTATGCATTATCATTTATCAGCAAGTATTGTTCTGTTATTTTCTTCTTTCCATATTGCATTGTAAAGTACAATACAATGCAATTCAAAAAGTCAATGCAATTTTTTATAAAGAAAATAAATGTGTTGTTGATAAATTTTCATACAAGGAAAAACCTTAATAATATCTGGTAATATTTCTCAACACAGTGTATGGTATGACATCATATCAAATAGATAACAACATTCATACAAACAGTATACAGTTCCAATCTTATAGGACTACAGTACTTTCAATTGATTCATGTTTCTATCCATGGCCTATAATATGGCCTGAATTGCCACCAGATCCTATCTTACTAATTTCTCAATGGTGTTTGCTCTATTAAAAGTACTTAATATATTATTGTCTTTTTACAAAAAAAATACATGGGAGAACATGACTTCGACCAGGAAGCACTTCTAATTCTTGACTTCAGCTTTCAGGTGATGCAGAATGAGCATTTGCTTTGGCTGTGGTTCATCAACTTCACGACAACAAGTGCTGTACTGTAAACATGATCTGAGAAATGACACGGCGTAGGCGTCATGATTATTTCAATTCAAATTAGCCTACAGTCTGTCTCTTATACACATCTAGATGTGTATAAGAGACAGGTTTTGATACCTATTATTTAATATATTTTTTGTTATGTTGTGTCTAAGGATTCCTATGTAGACATAGCATACTGTACTATTAATATAATAATTTTGGTATATTCTTTTCATGAAGACATTAAAATCAAATTAAGCCTGAATTACTTAGTCTAAGCACAGTCACTGAAGGGCACATCCCCCACCCCAAAAAACTGAATTGATTCAATTTGTGTAGTAATTGTTCTTGGTAGACAGTAGTAAATAGTTGCTATATAATTGTGGATGGCTACTCTTGATTTGTCTTCATGGTCAGTTGTTTATGCTGGGTCGATTCATTGCCAACATTATTGTCTCAATATGCTTATTAAAATATAACATCATCGTATTTGATTCACAATACTCTGTGGTTATTTTGCTGTCGATAGTACCCCAGTTTGAGGAAAAGGCAGGGCTTCTTGTCTGTGTGTGTGGTGTGATAGAGAGATGCTTAGTGCTTCTCAATTAAGTAAAACATACTATACCATTTTTAACGTTATATGTAACCACACACGTACCTTTAAACAGATTCGGTGCAATTTTGACTACTACTACTTGCACCACCATCCCTGAGATCCCCTTCGTTTTATATGTAGGCTTTTCATCAGCTTCGACGGAAACTTAATAGGCCTTACTGAGGACTCGTATTTGTTGTTTTCCACAGAGTTGCACATCCTTGAATTTCTTTTAAGCTGTTTACGCTTAATGACACAACCATAATCTAGGTTCTTACAACATGTATCAAAAAATATGCCTGAAACCGGCTCAGATTTATCATTTGAAGAACTTCTGGCCAACGCCATACTTGGACAAACGGCATAGAAGGTAGTTTGTGATTGGCTGAGGGCCTTGCAGCTAAGCCAAACTTCATTGTTAGTCGTCTTCTGATTGGCTATAGTTATGTAGCAACTTTTGATATAAATTCTCATTTTTGGTTACAGTTTCCCCAAATTCACGATTGCCGACAATCAAATTATGTTACAATTTAATAGTATTGATATTTTTGTGCAAAAGCCAGGTAGCCCGGATTGGTGGGTCACAGAATTGAACGTTTTCGATCCTCAACCCACGGTCTTTTACAGTGCATTCATTAGATGATCATAATAGGAATACAGATCGCATAAGTTAATGACTCAAACTATAAACATGTGTAACTTACAAATTTCACAAAATTGGCCAGTGTAGCAAGAAGGACAGGTACATGTGTAAGCTGTACAGGAACCAGAAACCTGAACACAAACAGCTCCATTCTGACATGCATGGTTGTCGCAAGCATTTATCACTGAAATTAAATATCAATTCATCAATCAATCAATCAATCAATCAATCATTCAGTCAATCAGTCAATTAGTCAGTCAATCAATCAATCAATCAATCAATCAATCAATCAATCAATCAATCAATCAATCAATCAATCAAATCAATCAGTCAGTCAGTCAGTCAACTGCTACAAATGTTATTGCATCATATGTCCAGAATAAGATTCTGCTTAATGGCGCATTCAGAATATTCGACAGAACAACTTATATTGCATTCATTAGATGATCATAATAGGAATACATATCGCATCAGTTAATGACTCAAACTATAAACATGTGTAACTTACAAATTTCACAAAATTGGCCAGTGTAGCAAGAAGGACAGGTACATGTGTAAGCTGTACAGGAACCAGAAACCTGAACACAAACAGCTCCATTCTGACATGCATGGTTGTCGCAAGCATTTATCACTGAAATTAAATATCAATTCATCAATCAATCAATCAATCAATCAATTATTCAGTCAATCAGTCAATTAGTCAGTCAATCAATCAATCAATCAATCAATCAAATCAATCAGTCAGTCAGTCAGTCAACTGCTACAAATGTTATTGCATCATATGTCCAGAATAAGATTCTGCTTAATGGCGCATTCAGAATATTCGACAGTACAACTTATAGTGCATTCATTAGATGATCATAATAGGAATACATATCGCATCAGTTAATGACTCAAACTATACACAAACATTTGTAACTTACAAGTTTCACAAAATTGCCCAGTGTAGCAAGAAGGACAGGTACATGTGTAAGCTGTACAGGAACCAGAAACCTGAACACAAGCAGCTCCATTCTGACACGCATGGTTGTTGCAAGCATTTAACACTGAAATTAAATATCACTTCATAAATCAATCAATCATTCTGTCAATTAGTCAGTCAGTCAATCAATCAATCAATCAATCAATCAATCAAATCAATCAGTCAGTCAGTCAGTCAACTGCTACAAATGTTATTGCATCATATGTCCAGAATAAGATTCTGCTTAATGGCGCATTCAGAATATTTGACAGAACAACTTACAGTGCATTCATTGGATGATCATAATAGGAATACAGATCTGAAAGTTAACAACTCAAACTATAAATATGTGTAACTTACAAGTTTCACAAAATTGCCCAGTGTAGCAATTAGGACAGGAACATGTGTAAGCTGTACAGGAACCAGAAACCTGGACACAACCAGCTCCATTCTGACACAGATTGTTGTCGCAAGCATTTAACACTGAAATTAAATATCACTTCATCAATCAATCAATCATTCAGTTAATCAGTCAATCAGTCAGTCAGTCAATTAATCAATCAATCAATCAAATCAATGAGTCAGTCAGTCAGTCAGTCAACTGCTACAAATGTTATTGCATCATATGTGCAGAATAAGATTCTGCTCAATGGCGCATTCAGAATAATTGACACAACAACTTGGTGCATTCATTGGATGATCATAATAAAAATACAGATCGTATAAGTTAATGACTCAAACTATAAACATGTGTAACTTACAAGATTCTCATTGGCTTCTTGCCTAATATGATAATTAAAATAGTTTGTAATTCAAGCCTTGATTTAGACCAACATTTAACAGGTAATGCAATATGTTCCAACATCATGAAAAGGGTGTATTCAAGGCTTTGCACCACTGAAGCGACTCCGTCTATGCTTTGCCGGCGAAGATGTTTGGCAATCTTTAACGATTCGGCTAGGCCAAATTATGTAGATCATCTAGAAAAATCTCCAAATCGGATTAATTACCCCTCCTGCGTATAGAGCAATAAGGGAACAGTCGAAAAACAGGAAAACCAATATAAATCCTAGAGAAAACATTCCCACATCCAGCACACTATTAACTGTAGAAACTGTAAGAATGATACTAAATTTACAAAAAGTTAAATGAAATGATGACTTTAAAGATAATGAGGGGATAATTCAGGTTTTTGACATAACGTTTTTGACATATAAACTCACGGTGCAAAGTGTAATATTCAAGTAATCTTTACTGAGATACTCTTTATTGCAATCAAAAAGAAAGATTGGATATTACAATATTTGTCAAAGAATAAACATCCAAAATAGTAGTACATTTTGATAAAGTGAGAATAAAAATGATCCAGTGGTTGAAAGCGTCGTAATTACAGTACTTATAATTTTGTTATCTTTCTGCTTTCAGGCAAGGGGTATTGAACTTTATTACGTAGATGTTATTGGTGAGGTGGGGCAAATGTAAGTAAATGATTAAGTCAATTTTTTTGCAAATATTAAGAAAATGATTAGAGATGGGAGAGGTTTAAAAAGTTAAATGCATGACCATAGGGCAGACCAGTGAGATTACTTCAAACAGCCATACGTTGAATTTTCTCAATTGATTGCTGCTGGTCTCTATAGTGAGCCCTGTGAACCTAAGGTGGAAAAACGTAGTCGACACTGTAAATATCATAAAACAGTTGTATCAAGGCCACCTTTGCGTAACTGTTTAAAAAAATAAATCCTAGTGTTACATTTTAAAAGTATTAATGCCACCTGACCATCCCACTTGATGCCATTCTCGACAATAACCTTTATTGTTTTCCTGTGCAAAACAATAAATATTAGCCATTTATTTGCAGGTAAAGGGGTCAGATATTTCGCTTATAAAGCTGATAAACATTCCTTTTATTTTTTTCTTGTTCACCCACATTTTGTTTTTCATAGACCAAGTACAGATCTCATCACACACACAGGCTGAAATGCACCCTTTTGAATGTTTGAGATTCTCTTGAACACTGTTGTGTCATCCATATACCTAATTGTAGGGAGTTAACAGTCAAATTATTAATAGAAATTATAAAGAGGAGGGATCCAAGCCAGGATTCATAGGGATCCCTTCTTAATGCAAACCATTCAGAAACATGGGTACCAACTCTTACTCTGTGGGTCCTTTGTCAAAGATACGCTGCAATCATTTAATTAGAATGTTGGTTACACTAAGTTATATAAGTTTGGCAATCAAGACATGGTGAAATACTGGGTTGAAAGCATTTTTAAAGTTTTAAAACCAAACCCTAGTTTCATCACTAATGTCAGTAGCAGCAAGCCAGTTTGTGTACTGGTGTCACCCCTTCATAGATGACTTAGGTTTGCAAATTACCACCAAAGATCAAGTAAATTGAAAAAACTAAAAACATAAAATACCAAGCAGTGACAGAAAGTAAGTATTTAATTAACATATCAATAGGGCCTACTGTGCCATAGTGGAGCTAAGCAATATTTAGTCCTTCTTAGCAGATTAAATAGATAAACAGTTTGGCTTTGACTGAATCAGATTGTTAAGTGAAGGTTTCAGTTCTTTGATCCAAATCAAACTTAGATTTGAACTTATTTTTTTAATCTTCAAATATTTAAATACTGTAATAAGCAAGAATTGAATCAATAAATAAACCAGAGCCTTGCAGGCATCAATGTTCCTATGCATGATACATGAC